TCTTCGATCAATCCGTCAACATGAAGCTCTCACTTCTTCTCGCACTTCTACCCGTGGCTCTTGCCCTTCCCGCCCCAGTCATCGTTCCCCGTGCTGGCAGTCCTATCCCCGGAAGATACATCGTCAAGATGAAGAATGAGAACCTCCAGGCTCTGATCGACGCTGCCTTGAAGGTTCTCAGGAAGGACCCTGTCCATGTCTACAAGTTCGCCGGCTTCGGTGGTTTCACTGCTGATATGGCTGATGACATTGTTGAGCTGCTTCAGAACCTGCCCGGTGTAAGCTTATCGGCCCTGAAAATGACTCTCAGAGTACTGATATAATATAGGTCGACTACATCGAGCAGGATGCCGTTGTCAAGGCCAACCTGGGCGAGATCCACCTCGAGAAGAAGGCCTACGTCACTCAGTCTTCTTCTACCTGGGGTCTTGGTCGTATCTCCCACCAGGCCAAGGGTATCAGCTCCTACACCTACGATGACTCTGCCGGCGCTGGTACTTGCGCCTATGTCATTGACACTGGTATCTCCACTACTCACCCCGAGTTTGAGGGCCGTGCTACTTTCCTCGCCAACTACGCTGGCGATGGCTCAAACACTGATGGCAACGGTCACGGCACCCACTGCGCCGGTACCATTGGATCCAAGACCTACGGTGTAGCCAAGAAGACCAAGCTTTACGCTGTCAAGGTCCTCGACGCCAGTGGTTCTGTAAGTGGATATGCGTTTCACAGTGCAAATGCCTTGCTAACCATTTGAAGGGTACCAACTCAGGTGTCATTGCCGGAATCAACTACGTCGCCAATGATGTCAAGACTCGCAGCTGCCCCAACGGTGCTGTTGCCAACATGTCTCTTGGTGGATCCCGTTCTACCGCTGTCAACACTGCTGCAGCCAACGCTGTCACCGCTGGTGTCTTCATGGCTGTTGCTGCCGGTAACGAGGCTCAAGATGCTGCCAACTCCTCGCCTGCATCGGAACCCACTGTCTACACTGTTGGTGCCACCGACAGCTCGGACCGTCTCGCCTCCTTCTCCAACTACGGTTCCATTGTTGACATCCTTGCTCCCGGTGTATCCATTCTCTCCACCTGGCTCAACGGCGGCACTGTAAGTTCAACCATTTATGTGGACGTTTAGATCAAAAGCTAATATTACAAAGAACACCATCTCCGGTACCTCCATGGCCACTCCCCACGTTGCTGGTCTCGCTGCCTACATCCTAGGTCTCGAGGGCAAGAAGACCCCTGCCGCCCTTTCTTCCCGCCTTACTGCTCTTTCGCTGAGGAACAAGATCACTGGTCTTCCCTCCAGCACCAAGAACTACCTTGCCTTCAACGGCAACCCCAGCGGTTAAGCTATGGCTTTCATAGCGGGTTCTCATGAGCATTTTGCATTGTTATCTGAGGCATTTGCGCATTGATAGAGGTTGAAGATTTCCCTCCTTCTTTTCTTACGAACTTATGATGGTGGTTGCTGTAAATGTGGCAGAGATTCTTCCAGCGCGTAGCTAGTAGCATCAGTGCATATTCAAGTTGTTAAGTCAAATCATTCAGGCCATTCTCAGATGCCGTGCATGCCCCGCCTTAGATGCTGATGACCAGGATCATGATCGTTCCAACAAAGTCCGGATGACGAAGATGCGAGTACAATTTCGTTACCGCGGTTTTCGAATGCGGAGACCGATGTGACGAAAGCAGAGCTTGTGTCACCGCGACTAACGTACTTGCACTGGTGACTTCAGCCACGAACCAGGCTTCAGGCTACTGCTGATCCTCATGTGTTTCATATTGTCCTCAGTTACTTTGAGGGGGTACAGTTGACTATGCTGCGGCCTAGGTGGCTTCCGGAGGCGCAGCCCTGTGCATTAGTATAACGGCGCCCAATCAACATGCCCTTAGATGGCTTCATGCAGGGTCTGCTGATAGATGCATCCTTGTGGACTAACAAGGTACCTAATTAAATACTTTCAATCTATTCCGCAAATGATCTGGCGCCCAGTGATCCTGATGTGAATCCTGGGTAGGTTTACGACGTGAGTCATTGTGATCTTGCACCAGACGAATATCTCCCGAGGTCTGGTACTATTTGTTCTTTTTTTGACAGTTGTCAACAGAAGCCTCCCCAAGTACCACATAAGATCACACATAGCTAGCTGCATGCGGCCACAGGGCTTCGACCCTCCCTGCATTCTCGATGCTATGTTGGCCCAAGGTTGATCAGCGTGGTCATCGGAATATTAGATCTCGCCCCACATTTCCAAAAAGGAGATATCGCGGCTGAGGCTGCAGCAGCCGTCATCCTTCCGCCGTGATGCACGGGCCTAGGTGGGTGGAGACTTCCGTACAATCGAGCGCCACCAACTCTGTATCCCAACTGCCGCTCTACTTGCGCATAATTACTTACACAACGATACGACCTTGAACATGGCTGAATAGCCTGACTATAGACAGCACCCGATGATCGCGACGGAGTATAACTGTACCCGACTTTGAACAACGCGCGTCAGCGGATCTGGATTTGGATGACGTACCTGATGCGCATTTACTCCTTTAGATTCAGCCGCAATCCTGATTGTTAACGAACAAAACAAAGAACAACGAAAAAATAAACAGCACTAGATTGCCGCAAAGTACTTCACACATGACATGTATCGGAATGCGCGATGGGAGAGCTTCTTGTGTAGCGGAGTAAGCACGCGATCGTTGGCTCTTACCAGCTGAGTTACGGCTACGCCGTGCGGCACCGCCCTGCCAAGCGAAGCCAACAAGTGCCAAGTCGTATGGAAATGGGTGGCATGGAGGTTGTTGTTTTATACATGCTCAGCAAATGGGCCTTCCATCCATCGAGCTGCCCATTTTGCCCCCAGCTGCTCACACGTAGTAGATCGTATGCTGCTCTTCGAACGCAACCCTAGAAACCAGCTTGTCGACACCATAGCATTACAGTATCCGGGTCGACTTGCTGTTTCATGAGGAGCATCTAATCAATGCAGCTTCATCAAGATACCTCATTTCGCAAGATAACCCTGTCACTCCGTGTCTTATTCGGACACGAATTGCCAATCAGGAAACCCTCGGAGGGTCCTCTACTCTCGACCGAAAATATCATCATCGCAGCTCAGGCATCGACGGAACCCCTTGACCTGCTGGGATGGTAAAGAAGGCGTGTTGTGTTATTCGCCGATAGTGTGCGTTGTGTTACACTCAGGACCCGCTGTACACGGTTGTATCCAGAGAAAGCATATGTACAAAGTCGCTTAAAGGACCTCGTGCGGTATACACCCCTAGGAACCATAGCCAGTGCTCCATGATGCCTGTCTTTCGAAGGCAATTCCAAAGACCGTCGCTCCATCATCTAGTCTTACAACTACACTGAGTCTGTGTCACATGTTTGCGTCAAAAACAACACCATACGAATGACTAGTCTTTGTTCTTCGTCAAAAGTCCTCCGTGGAACGAAAAAGCCCGCATGCTCATGCTCCTGGCAGCATGGTTTGGCTACTATGTTCCCGCACGAACGAGTGGTTGTCAATGGGAATAGCAAACTCTTGCGAGACTTCAACGATACCTTTCGTACCAACATGCGAGCCTACGGTTGCATAGTCTGACGATGCAGTGGCGCATATCTGACAACCTGCCGTGGGTGTCTTGCACATGCAACATTCTTCACCTTGCACTGAACAACACCTTTATCAGCTGCTTGATGTTGTCCCGCGAGTTAACTTCTTGACGAGCACTTGTGACGCTGATCATTAGATTGCTGGTTCCCGACCAATCATTTCCACCTATGATGAGAAGCGACATTCTAGCGCCCATCGGGTACGACAAAGATAACATGTAGGAAATCACAACAAAGCAGGTTATGTTCCACAACGCTCTGACTGCGGTGGTACTACCGATACCTGTTCTTTATCGAATTCTGTTCGACTTCAGACTTACCCGCCCGCATATACCATGCAATAAGACATGGATCTAGGAGAATCATAAAAGCCTTCTTTCGTGATTCGTGTCCCTTTGATGGGATGCCAGGCTCACATCTTGGCGCATTGGAGACCATGTCGTCAACAAAAAGGTTTCTCCGGCACCATACAGCACCGTAGTTTCGATTGCGTGTTATCTCCCGAAGTCCATCCCTCTGGTTATCCTGGTGTTTTATACCCCTCCGAGTAACATCGTACCTTCCTCGGAGAACACTAAATCCTTCAGATGACCGACTGAATAACTTGCAAGATGATCATCTTAAGACGAACCGACCAAGCAGTAGAGAATGTGGCAATATGACGCCACCAAAGAACCACAAGCACAATTATTGGCGCTGAATCTATCAAACACAAGCATACATACTATCAGATAACCGTATCTCCCGTACCGTTGTTGGTGTTGTAACGTTAAGTGGGCTCGTCGAACAGCATGCTCAAACGTGGTTCGTAAAACGTCCCACTACGTAGGTGCACGCGCTCTGTTCGTTATACGTGATCTGCCGAACCACGCCATTGGCTATCAAAGAAATCTGCCGCCTCTGGCACTTGGGCATGTTCTACAACGTTGGTGTTTAAAACGCAGTTCTACCGCTGATGCAGGTACAACTCAACCAGAAACATCTGATCCTTCGCCCTCTCTTCAAAGTCTTTTTCACTCGTCCCAACACCTCTACCCAAATCATATCGAAACATGTATACACCGCTGTTTCACGTTCTGCTTTCTTCGGCATTTGCTGCTCCATTGATCAAGGTTGACAGTACAGATGCTGTTGCTGGAAAATACATTGTGAAGCTCAAAGGCGATGTTACATCAAAAGCTGAGGAGGACCTCACAGCTCCAATTGCCGCCAATATCGATTTCAAATACACGATGTCTGGCTTCAGGGGTTTCGCTGGCAGCATCTCGGATCAGGAACTTACTCGACTCCAGGCTTCTGAGCATGCAAGATACACATCTGTATCGACATGTACATACTAACATGACTAGGTTGACTATATCCAACAAGATGCCAGGGTCCACATGTTCGAAAAGAAGACACAGGTGAACGCTACGTGGGGCTTGGGTCGAATCTCGCACATTGAGCCTGGTCAGAATAATTACCTTTACGATTCCACTGCTGGCGAAGGCACATGCGTGTATGTCGTCAGCCATCTTAAAATTCTCTGATATTTGCTTATACAGCGAACGCAGATATGTCGTCGATACCGGTATCGAGACCACTCATCTAGAATTCGAGGGCCGTATGTATGAGCAGTATAACTCGATGGAAACGTATTAACGCTCTACTAGGCGCCTACTTCCTTGCAGATTTTAGCGAAGAGGGAGACCAGATTGACGGTGCGGGACATGGTACTCATGTTGCTGGCACAATCGGTTCCCTCACATGGGGTGTGGCAAAGAAGACGACTCTTTTCGCAGTTCGAGTGCTGGACTCTTCCGGTACCGGTACAAATGCTGGCGTCCTTGCCGGTATGCAGTTTGTTATCACGGATGCAAAAGAGCGTATGGACGCCGGAGATTGCCCGAAAGGAGCCTTGGCCAATATGAGCCTTGGGGGAAGAAAATCTCAAGTCATGAATGATGCTGTAAGTGACAAGTCCGCAGCATTCATAATCGATGCATTAACACCAATTTAGGCTGCTGCTATCGTTGCGGCAGGTATCTTCCTTGGTGTCGCCGCAGGCAATGAAGGCACGTTGGCTGATTACTCATCTCCATCATCTGAACCTACTGTATGTACCGTGGCCGCTACAGCAAACAATGGTACGCTCATCGAATGGTCCAACTATGGTCCCCGGGTCGATATTCTGGCACCTGGTGTTGAGATCACCAGCACTTGGATTGGTGGAGGCATCAACACTATATCTGGAACCGTAAGTAACCTTCCGAAGAGATGCGGTAATGCTACATGCGCTAACGATCTTCAACATGTCCAGAGTATGGCCACTCCGCATGTTGTCGGCGTAGCTGCGTATTTCGCAGGTCTGGGAGCACGGGTAGAAGGTCTGTGCGAACATCTTGCTAGTACCGCGACAAAGGGTGCGATCGATGATAGCACGCTCCATGAGGGTACACCTAACGCTCTCGTATATAACCAGGCGGAGGGAATTAAACATTACGGTAGACGTACTGGCCAGGCCATGTAGAATATTCGAGAGGTCCATTGTCTGCTCGGACATTACGTTCCAAGTCAGCCCACTGCACTTGGCAGCTTTGGCTAATCTAGTCTTGCCAATAGGAAGGGATTGCAATGGAGAAAGTATCTGCGTCCAGTTTGTTGTTCTTAGCGCTTGCTCATAGATCGTGCGGATCGAGCCGTACATGACAGCACCGGTCATCGATAAGCGGGAAGATGCATGCGACCTCACCTGCCGTGCCATCTCACCTCACCTGTCGCAGCATCGGTAGGCTCTTCCACCTATCGCGATTAGTCACTACCAGTAAGAGCCTCCGATCTCAACGGCTGTCGCGACTGTTGCACCAGGGAGTTAGCGCTAGATCTCAAACTCCAAGACGCTGATGTCGCCCAAGCACGCACGCCGATCGTCACTTCACTAGGCCAGCTGATTCAGCACTGTGGGCCAACCACAAGCCGTGACATCACAGAATTGCGGGGTATAGACTTGCAGCATCGGGCTTAGCCTGGACTGCAACCCTAACACCTTGCAGCTCACCAAGCCCCCCAAGAGCACTGCCTCTCACCTGAGACCTTTCTCATCCCGCTCCATATCTGGCGCATCGATACGTACGCACAATCATCGGAACCCAAAGACGCCTCATCTTTACTGGAGAGGAGAAAACTATCCTAGAAGTCATGGCGTCATACTTCGATCTCCCGCCGTCCCAGAAGGCCGCGCCAGCTGCGAGTCTAGATCAAATATCCCAGGACCAGCGCAAACAATTGGGTCGCATGAACAGCTTAATGTCCCCTGCAGTCACACAGATTTTGGAAGGATTAGGCGACGACCACTCAGACAGCGATAGCAGCGAAGGAGACATATCTGAACAAGAAGAGCAACGTTCCACTCAACATACCAAGAAATCACTCGAGCCTCAGCGGCTGAGCCAAGACAAACAAAAGCATATCGCTAGCCAGAACCCTCGACCTTCATCATTGTCACCAAGCAGAAGTTCTCTGAAATCGGGTACCGGCAAAAGTTCAATTCACTCTAAAACTTCTTCGGCACGTGGGAGCGGAGAAAACTCCGCAAAGCCCAGACAAAAACAGCCTCACATGGCGCGATTCCACTCTCTTCGCAGCATGCTTTTCCAACAAAGAATTGAAGACCAAATGAAGACTGTCACACAGGAAGACTGTCAGAATGAACAAAACGCGGCAGACAAGTGGCATAAGCAACACGAAGAGCGCCAGATGCACCGCACGGGGACACCTGAGAAGGACTCATCAGGGAAGAGTGGAATTGGAAGCAGACTGAGAATGACGGTAAGAAGGATGACAACAAAAGATGCGGGGAATATGGAGAAGATCAGGGAAGATGGCGCACCAGTCGAATTCAATGATCGGGCATCAACGGCCTCTTCAGACGTGGAAGGAGAACAAAGGAATCCATATGAGAGTGATGGAGAGAGCATCGATCATTCTGACGTGGAAGAATTGGTACGTTGGGTCAGTCGACGGGATCCACCCAGTGACGGTGAAAGACGAAAAGACAACAGTGTGGTGGAGGCCAAAGAGGATAGTGGCCACGAGAGCCTTGGGCCGTCGGATGTTGATGAACTTGTTCGTTTCGCCAGCAGAAAATCTGACGCCAAAGAGACTCGCTCAATCAACGACGGACATTCAGGGTATAGCGATGCGTCCACTGAGTCTGACAGCGAACTCAGAGAAGTATCTTCAGATGAAGAAGAGGACGCAGATGACCTCGTACGCTGGATATCGCATCGCGACGGACCTAAAGCAGGCCCAGTGCGTAGGAACTTACAACGAGCGGAACTGGACTCTGATGTAGGAGAGCACTACGAGTCTGACGTACCAGAACTAGGTCGCTGGTTCAAGCGCCACGACGGCACTAGCGGCGAGTCTGCAGCGTCTACGCCTGTCAAGGAGACTTTTGACGATTTTGACGAAGAGGAGCAGCGTGGTCGCCCAAGAAGCCGCGAGGAAATTGAACCAATCAAGGAAAAGAGGCATATTACAGACGACGACGTCGACGAACTTGTCCGCTGGGTGAGCAGGAAAGATTCCAAACAGCAAGAATCACCCGTGCTAGAAGGCGATAATCCAATTGGCCGTCTAAAGCGGGAAGAGGAAGAGAAGCAGCAACAAATCGGCATGAGTGTCGATGATGGTAGTCTCTCCCAAGCTGATCTACCGGATGTTGTCGAACATGCGCGAAAGACGAGTGGTGGTCCCACTAATTCTCCACCAACAGGCCCGTTTGCAGTCGAAACCGGCGATTTGCGAGTACTAAGGGACGAAAAGACAAAAGCGGTTACCCCAGACCATGACTCCCAATGCGATCTAGACGGGCAGAGAGAAAGTCTAGACGAGAAGAAACAAGAGCTAGGCATGAGTCATGATGATGAGAGTCTGAGCCACAGCGATGTGCAAGACCTAATCGCACACGTAAAGAAGATCTGAGAGATGTTGCTTGAGATTTAGGGAGAAATCCCCTCGAAAACTTCATCAAAAACTCGTCTCCTTAGCTCAATTGGGAGAGCGCCAGACTGAAGTCTCAGTCACTAAATCTGGAGGTATCGTGTTCGATCCACGAAGGGGACAACGTGCCTGAGTCAATTCTCAGGATTCTTCGAACTTTCTTTTTGCACAAATTGCGGCTCAGAGGTCTGGCAGTCGGATTGTATTTATCGTATCGTGCGGGATCCGTGGAGACGCGCGGAAGCTAAGCGATGTGGGTGTGTGGATCTGGGTAGAATACGAGAAGATCTAGACTGTGGCTGGGGTTCACTGTAGCATGGTGTACTTAGCTTGTAGCACAGTTTTTGATACCAATTGATTAGTATGCTTGCTGAATGAATGGAAACATTATTGCACATCTGAACCAGCATTGAACGTGAAAAAGACATGGTATTCATACAACAGGAGGAACAGCGAAGCATTCTATCGCAATGGTACTCCGAAACCCCTACAAATGCAACAGTATGCGACGAAAAACACTCAGTCCAGCTTGAGTGCTGGAACACCCTCAAATTGTAGTCTTCTGAACATGCCACGGATGACACCACAGTTCTTCTCCCTCTCATTATCTCTGCTTCGCATCTCTGTGCGCATCTTACCCAGCATATTCGTGCCGTCACCCCTGTGACCACCCTCTTTGATGTTTGTGAAGAACATCCTGCGACCCGTGTTGTCCAGCGGCTCCCACTTGGCGATCTTAACATCTTTCCTGGGAATGACTTGATGTTCGCGGTTGGGATCGAGGAACTTGATGAAGCTGATGAAGTAATCTGAAATCTCGTTTTGGCGGCGTACCATGACCTGTCCGACGGTACCGGCGTGCTTAGTACCGTATCCGTTCTCGATGTCAACACCCCACATCACGTCCCATTGGTATTGGTATGTAGGCACGTTCTCGGGGTTGTGTTCGGACATGGCGTTGGATGCGAGGTATGTTGGGCAAATGTAGCGGATGTCGCCCTGGGCTTTCGCTACGGCGTCCCACCATGCGCCGCTGTCGGGCCAGTGTCGGTCGTTGGGATACGTGCTGACGAGCGTGCTCAGGTCTTCGTCGGTGAGGAGCGGGTAATGGTCTTTGAGGTAGGACTTGAATTCACCCTCATTGTCGGTGGCCTTCTTGACTTGGTCTGACCCTTCGTTGGATGTAAAGCCGATGATGGTTGGGACCTTTGCGTATCGGTTGTTCATTATGGCTGCTGGGGCAGGTTCAGTGAACATACCGCCAGCTGGCTCGGTGGTTGGGGCCCACATCCAGCGGGGTGGAGTATCGCGGCCGGGGAAGTTCATGGGGTAATTTTGGTAGTAGAGATCGCCTGTCGCGGCGTCGCGTACGCAAGCGATATCTGTGCAGTTCAGTCCGTCTGCGACTTCGTTGTAAAACTTCTCAGCTTGCTCGGGCGTGAAGAAGGTCGGACTCGCGGGAGATTGGGCGATGGCGCCGTGGAAGAGCTGCTTGCGACCTGTGCCAGGGACAGGGTAGTAGTTGTCACCCTCGTTGGCGGTGAGTTGCAGCATCACAGACGCACCGCCTGCGCTTGTACCCATGATAACTACGTGGTCTGGGTTGCCTCCAAAGTACCTGATGTACTTCTGAACCCACTCCAGCGCCGCTCTCTGGTCGCGAAGCGCGTTGTTGTAGTCGCCGTCCTTTGCGATCTGTTCACCAGGGAGGAAACCGTAGATGCCGTTGCGGTAGTACATGGTGACAACGACAATGCCCTTGTCGAGTTTGCCATCTACGCCCTTTTCGCGTCGTGCCTTTTCTACCATCTCGCCTCCGTTGCTGCGTCCTGGAAGATGGAAGCCGCCACCAGGGATGTTGACCAACACTGGCAAGTCGTCACCTGGCTCAGCATCGAACGGCGTGAAGACGTTCAAGCTCAGACAGTCTTCGGTAGAGCGAGTCTTGATACCCAAAACGTCCGGTCCTGAGATATCGTCCCTGTTCCTCTGAGCCGGATCAATCTTCTGGATTCTTGGGCACATTCCCAGTGATCCATCCCACACCAACGGCTTCTCGCCCCTGCCGATGCCATACGTTCTGTTCACCGGTTGTGGTCCCCGAAACCTGTTCTTGCCTCCTGCATCTGCGGCATATGGGATGTTCCAATAAGACCTGACTTTGTCCGTAACATTGGGCTTGATGGCTAGGTAGTCTAGCTCAACGATATTGGGATCTTCGGTGTTCTTCAACGGCGCGGAGAAGGTGGACGTAGGTTTCGAGCTAAGAGGTGGTAGCCATTCTGAGCTAGGGCGTAGGTCGGGCGAATAGAGGAAGGCAAATGTAAAGGCGAGAATGACAGCTGCTGTCAGACCGAGTATAACGCGCCTGTCGAAGATGAGGCTCGAGTTGAGGGGACGGATTGCCATGGTGGGCAGATGTTGGGAGTTGCAAAAGAATGTGGCGTCGCGTCAAGGCGGCGGAAGTTTATTATGAGACCGTCGAAGTCTGCATCTGCGTCCTGTATACGAAACTCAGGAGCCAGAAGATAAGACGCTATTCAGGAAGATGGTGAATGTGGCCTCCCGCGTTGTCGCAATCCTTCCAAGCATCCATGTCTGCAAGTTTCCTTATCCTGGCCCGACGGGACGACCGAAGGGGCTAAGGGGGCGGCAATCGGCACCATCTCCTTGGCGCTGACGCGTATCGCAATTGTGGAATTGCCATGGCGGCGCACGACAACCAAGACGTCGTCGAGAGATCCGGAGAAAGAGTCGGGGAGAGCTACATGGCACAAGTGTGGCAGTTCAGGATAAATGGCAGGGTCCATAGCGTCCGCAGGTGCCTGTGGCTGGTACGACCAGAGGTCAGCGACTAGCGTGCTGACCTGTGTTGTTACCCATGAGCCTCAACATGCACTAACCCTTGGTGGAACAAATGACCCGATTACGATGGACGTTATATCGCTATAACCTCCGCCGGCGGTATCCAGGTGCTAATTGTCTAGACCGGCAGTGGGTTGACGTATGGATTCTTGCATTGGCCGTCAGCGAAACGCAAGCCAGGCGATGACAATCACACCACCCACTGAAGCACAAGTCCAGTGACCGTCGCAATACAACACTTAGGCACCAGTAGCTTTCTGGCTGACACTTCTGCTTTTTGCGCATATTTTGTTCATGGTGACTTTTCCAGATTGAGCAAACGGAGAGATAAAGGTAGAGCTCACCATGGGCCATGGCTTCACAGCATACCAAATTGTTGGCCGGGTATGTTGCACTAGCATATTACAAAGCACAGCATCTTGTACACCTTGAGGGTGTATCACCTCTTTGTAGCAAGACTGTCAAAAGCTACATGTTAAGATCTTCTGCCGGAGCTTAGCATACTTCTGACATGACAGGAGCGATGGGTTCGATATCAGAAGAGGCTGTCGCTCTCTTACCTTGCCGAAAGCGAGGCGACTTCGACTTTAAATCCGCTCTCTCACCTGAAGGCGGAAGATGGTGCCAGTATGGGCCGTTATAGGCCTTCATAGGTATCTTTCTCATCTCTCCCCACTCTCCATCTTCTTTCTCTCGACCTTTTTACTTTCGCTCACGGCGAACAACATTGGTTGCTCTAAATCTACCCAATCCAGGCCTGGCTTTGACCTCAGCTTGTTATCCTTCCAGTTACAGCCTTTGGCTAACTATGGACGATGTCCGCAGATGTCACTCAGATGGAGGACCTACAACAACAGACACCTGAGAGCACGCAGAGTCCTATCTTCGAGCCACAATGCCCAGCTCAATCCGTAGCCGTCGCTACAATGCTTCCACTCTCCTCCTCAAGCACTACGAATAATTCTACCCTAGACGCTCACATCATTTCACCATACATGCAGAGGCTTCGAGACATCGAAGCTGATGCCAATCGTGCTATCCTTAGCTGGGGTTCCGGCGGTGCAGAATCAGCTGTACCTGCAAAGCGAAAGAGTATGTACATTGCACTCGCCGCGAATTACACTAACCTGTGTCAGTCTCCGACACATTCTCTGACAGCGACGATGAAGACAGCGACGACGAGAAAGACCCTTCGCAAGTCCCTCCGTACGACCCAGCTCAACAGCGTCGTCCAAAGCTACCGATGTACCACCCCGGCTTCAAACAAGCTGAGGAAGATACTCAAGCTGTATTGCAGGTCTTCCTAGACTTCCTAAAAGCTGCCAAGAACCGTGGAGTCTCTAGTGAAGAGGCTACGTACCTCTGGAATGAGATTCTGAAAAATCGTAATATCCTGTACCAAAAGGAAATCCGGATTGCTGTGACTGGAGACACTGGCACCGGAAAGTCCGCTACAACAAATGCTCTTCTTGGTGAAGACCTGACACCAGAGGTAAGTTTATTGTCCATTAAAATATGAGCGGCTTTCACTAACACGGACCTATAGGGCGACAATGGGGCAGCATGTACAAATGTCGTTACAGAGTTCCGGCAGAAGACTCTGTCTACCAATATCGGCGCAGTCCAAGCCGAAGTTCAATTCTATTGCCTCGAGTATTGCATTGACCTAGTAACAGACTGGGTCAAGGTGTGGCTTACCACGAAACAGAGGCTTATAGAAGACGAGGACAGTGTCACCGACGACGACCGAGCGCGCAAAGATGCTGCATTGGAGTGCTTGGAGCACCTGTTCGCTTCCCGCGTCGCTCCAGAGTCTGTTGAGGACTTTATGTCTTCCAGTAAAGCTCTAAAAGGCAACTTAGTGTTGGAGAAATTCCTGCAGTGGACGGTTGACATACACAGCATGTTTGTGCCAGATGGAGAGCTGTCCGTCCCCTTCGAATCTAGTACGCACAATGATATGCGTGAGCAACTTCGACCCTTTCGAATGCGAGCTCTCAATGCACGCTACAAAGGGAAGGTGCTACAGTTCAGCCCATGGCCGTTCGTCGAGATCATACGGTAGAGATTGACATTTTTCCACATGCAAGTTATGCCGCTGATAACAAACGCAGATACTATGTCGACAGTCCGTTGGTACAGGATAGTGTATGCTTGGCCGATGTTCCTGGCACGAAAGATATCAACATGTACCGCGTCACTGCTGCCACCGCATACCTCCAGCAATGTGAAATGACTATCGTAGTTGTAGACATCAAGCGTGCGACAAGCGATCAGTCTTTCCGCCAGCATTACCTTGATGCGCATAGCAGGCGGCACCATGGCAGTGTCATCTTGTTAGCGACTAGAGCTGATGTAAGTGCACCTGTTGTATCCTTCGTTATACTCATGCTTACCTCATGTCTTGTAGGAACTGAATGACGATGGCGGCAGTACGCTTCAGCTAGATCCTGTCGCAGAGGAAAACATTGCACCTATTGAGGAGAAGCTCGCAGATCTTACCAGCGAACTGCAAGCTATCCAAGGCGAGATTGAGGCCAACAAGCATCATATGAAACGACTGAAGTCCAGTGTTCAACTTGGAAGCGCCACTGTAGAGCAACGCAGCCAGCATGACGCCCTCAAGGCAGCAAATAAGGTTTTGGCTAGTCGCAAGAAGACTACAATGCCACTCGTCGCTTCCCTGGAGAAAGAGTAAGCCCTGCTCTACATTGGCATTTGGCCAAGCTAACTCTGTTAGGCGTAAAGACGTACGTATTGCATGCCGTAATAGGCTTGTAGCCGCGGGCATGAGTCGCATGTACAGTCACAACACTGGCGATGATGCGGGCGCTGCGTCGTTCTGCGTCTCCAATCGAATGTATATGCGGCATCGACGTGGCTACAACATGACCAACCTAGAGAAGGCTCCCACGATGAAGCTCGAAGACACTCAAATTCCAGCTGCATGCAGATATATCGCGGGAATACCCTCACAAGGACGCCTCGCCGTTCTAGAGCATTTTGTGCTCTTCAAGGTGCCAATGTTGTTGAGCATTGTCCAGATGAGCTGCAGTAAGAGTACTGAAGCCAGGATAGAACACATTACCAAGATCATCGATAAGACCATAAAGGGCACAGAAGGACGGGTTCGTGATGTCATGAATAAATGGGTCCAGGCGTTTTCCAATGAACTTACAAGCGCACTCTCAAGTCATGAACTGCAAGATAGGTTCGACCGAAACGCCGAGAAGAAGCTCGAAGAACTCGCCACTATAAATGCGGCCTCGCATAAGGCATTGGTGAATAAGAGAGGTGAGTGTGGCCCAAATTTGGAAATACTGAATTATTCGCTAACGATATCTAGGCACATACCAACAGAAGAAGTTGAAGATCAATCACAATCTGAATGCTTCGCTGTTGGCACCTGCGAAAACCGCGATGGATGCCGCGTTCCGAAACGTGCTCGATGCCGCACCTGCAGCGCTGAAGGCTCAAATGGCACAGACGATCAAGACCGTTATCAACGACTTGAACAAGCAACTGAAAGGTAGGTTCACTGATATCTCATCATCTCCTTTTGTACTGACACATGTCTTAGACGACCCCCAGGCTTTGGCTGGTGACGCTTATCAGCTATGCTTCGGCAAGAATCGTGTCGGCTACGAGGAGGAGGTCACTCTCAAGGTCGAAAACGCAAGGAAAGAACTTCACCAAGGACTGATCGCTATAAAAGAAAAGGCCGTCAAGCCTGGAGACAAAGGCTATTTCTTCAAAGCAATGGATGAGATCTACGGGGCGGCTCTTGATGAGAGGCCGGGCAAAGGTAACGACATGCATTTCCATATGCTACTACACGGTCACTGACGCAAGTTTTTAGGCAAAAAGCTGAAAGACGTCCGCCACGCTTATCTTGAAGAGAATGTCGTTGGTCTTGATGGCCCTTTCGCTGCGATCGCCGAAGGAGTTGAAGGAGATGTAAAGAAACTCATCAAAAACACCTGCGATAAGTTGCGCAAGGAAGTGGTCGAGATGCTTAAGACAATTCGTGCCGCTTTCCAGCGTCAGAAGAACAGGAAAGAACAGGACACTCCCGAAGGCCAGCAGTTCCGCAAGGAGCTGCATGAACTGGTTGACGAGGCGCGGAGGATCCTTGAGGGAGTTGTGACCAAGAGTCTGGAGAAGTGTAAGGAGAACAAGTGAGTTGTTTGGGCTGTGAGCGGATTCAAACAGTTCGATACGGAGAACAACAGCGTGTTCGATATTGCCATATTCCCAGCACCTCAGGTAGTAGTCTACAGCATTGATTGACATGGTCTGCGTAAGTTTAAAACTCATTTGACTACCTTTACGGTATCTCTTGACCTCAAGTTCGTGTCTCATGGCTAATGAGGTCTTTACCGCGCTCTTGTCTAACAGAAAGGTTATCGTAGCTGTATATCGCTACTACCAAACTCTAACACCGCCATCCCAGCCAATCATCTTGCCACCATCCTTTTCTTTGGTCGATGCGCTGAGAACTTTGAACATGCCGTCGCAAGACGCATCAGTAGTTATGTCCGCTT